CACAGAACTTGCACGTTTTACCAGCTCTGAAATGTTTTAACCTTTGGATCACCCCATGGATACATATGACCACCGCGAAAGATTTCTTGAAAATCTGTTTCGTGCATTTATTACGATCATTTATCCTTTTGATAGTGCGGCAGATATTTTTGGCATATAGAGATCAGTAATGGTCTTGGATAACCGGCTTCTTCAAGCCCAGAAATTTGTATATTAAAGCTTTTTTTATATGGTATGTACAGGTCTTTTTTAGGCTTGTTTGAAGAGCTGTGATGACCAGTTCTTGCATCCCATTTTTTATGCTGCGACTCATAAGAAAGAAATAATTTCCGCGGTCGTTTCTCATTTTGAACAGACAAGTCCAGCTTAAAAATCCAAAGTCAAGTGAAGGAACCTAACTAATTTCTTGACGGGAGTCTCACAGGTATAATGAGCCCCTTCCACTCTTTTGGAAATGTTTTATATTGATATCTTGGCATTCCTCCGTTTTTTTTTTATAGATTTCTGTGATAGATCAAATTTTAAAAGAAACATCCACGTATCTAAAGATAACCGCTATTCATGGGTCTTTTATTACCTAAAGGATGACTTTTCCACACATGGCTAGAGAAACTTTGCATACATGCGGAGCCACTTGGGAACCAATGCATACGTCGCTCTTTTGCGAATATTTGGGATTTTGGTGGACCATTATGGTTGCCGACAGGTAAAATTTTAAGATTTCCAAGGTCTCTAAGCTCATGCCTGCTGCATTTTGGAACTTTGAAAGCTTATATCCCTCGATGGTGAATTGGAGATCCCATATGAGGCTCGTGAGATGAATGCAATAGTACATGTCCTCTACATCAATAAAAAAATAGAAGCGATGAGGTGTCCTCGTTCTTGAACAAAGGCTATCACCTTTTCCGAGTTTAGTATCCCGAAGGGGTCTTCTCTCTCTACGTTGGAGAGTTATTGAGCCAATAATTTCGTTATGCCCGCTTGCCAAGTTTGATGCCCGAAATCTAGACACTTCTACGTAAGGTTTGGCTGAAAAAACATGCTGCTGAGTCTTGCTTGTTTATTTTCGTCCAACAAATTGATAATGATATTCTTTGCAGCCCCAGGCTATTGTATCAAAAATAACTACTTGACAAGCATACATATCCACGGTTATGGCCGAACAAATATATGAAGTACAGATACAGTTTGGAACCCCTTTCGTATACCAAACTCAGAACAAGTGATAGCCACTCCTAAAGAACAAGGGCATCTCATCGCTTTTGCGCTTTATCTTGATGAACTGTACATGTACTACTTCATTCTGGTCACAAACAGCATACAAGTTCTGTATTCCACCATTGAGGGACAAAGACTTTCAAAGTTCCACAATGCAGCAAGCATGAGCTTAAGCACCTACTTGTAAATCTTAAGGTCCCCAATATGTGCAAAAGTACGGCGTAAATGGCGTATGCATTGGTTCTTGAGAGGCTCCGCATCTGTGCGAAGTTTTTCTTGCTATGTGTGGAAAAGTAATCAAAGAAGTAATAAAAAGCTGAATACAGTTTTCTTTAAATACGTGGATGATTTTTTATGTCCCTACTGAAAAAAACCATTTGGCGCCCATATGAAAATAAACGGGTCCATACCGGTAACCGTTTAACCATACTGGTCACCAGTTTGTCAAAGGGGTCGCCCGTATGGCTCAAAGGGGTCCCCCGTATGAGCCAGAACGGTCACCTATTTGGCAAACGGGTCGCTCGTCTGGGCAAATGGGCGACTCGTTTGGGCAAAGTTGTCGCACGTTTGCTCAAACCGGCGACCATGTTGCAAACTGCACCGGTTTAATCAAACGGCTCTCCGGAGCCCGTTTGATATTGAACGTACAGATCGGCGGGGTGGGCACGCCTAGCGTTTCAACCGTGGCAGCCAATGTTTTCCGGAAGGCTGGGAGCGCCGGTTCATCGATTTCAGATCGTCCGCGTAATGCAAGTAATTATATTTATATTTCAATTGCGCTGATTTTCGATTATACTGCAACTAAAACTAACACCTTTTTTTTTTTTTTTACGTAAACGCACGACGTTGGTGAGCCGATATTTTTGACAGACCTTTTATACTTTGTCCATCTTTGTTGCCTCAATTTACTTATTCAGCTCGAATCTCTCTCGCAGAAGACGCGACCGCGTGAAAGAATGTACGTCTAGACTCCGTTTCACTTTAATTCAAGACGCAGCGAAGGTAGCACGCGTACACGCGGCTGCAAGAACATCGAGCATTGCGAGAGCACGCCCGCCGTTGCAGCACTCAAACTACGAGCTTGCGCTGAGTTCTTTCTTCGCTCGGGCGCAAGCCGAGCTTCTGGCAGCCCCGCCGCCATTTCCAAAGTTCGAGCGCGCGCGCGCGCGCGCGTTTTTTCTTCGGGACTACAAAAACGCATCTCCCTGGAATGCCTGGGGAGAGGAGAGGGGCTGTCCCGGTGGTCCCAGCGCCTTGACCTCGCCCCCTCCCTCCTTTCTTGTCACCCCTGTCACGTGACCCACAACAGCGCGCGAGCTACACGCTGATAAGCATCGAGATCCGGAAGGGCGCGCCTTGCAGCCGCTTTTTTCTTTGTCTGCTTGTCAGTTGCTGCTCGAAGTTCGCTCGTCCTACCTGCTTCAATCTGTCGCCTAACCCTGCGGTCTTATTGGGATGTCTCTCGACAACGTATTGGATGTGCACCAAAGCTATCAGTGTTCGAAAAGACCTACGTGTACGTCGGCAACGAGCGATTCTTCAAAGAAGTCGCAAATTCTCGCGGTTTGGTTGGGTTCGGCAAATGACAGCTTGTGCGCCGCATCGTGTTGAAACTTCCAAGGAGCCGTTCCCTCTCGTTTGTGTTTGTGTGGTTGTCCTGCTTTGACCGTGTCGACAAATATCACGGATTACCTTTTTCTAGTCCGCTATTGTTATGGTAAGTGCACTGCAACCTACGTGTTGGCAACGATTGACCGTTCTTCTACGCGTACTCTTTTAAATTATCTAAAGAATTATGCAGCGCCTATTCGCGCGGCAGCCAGGAGAATAATTTCCCCGAAAGTCTACCTGTATAGTGTTCACAGATTGCTTGCACGTTTGTACTTGTCCACAGAAGAGGTAATAAACTTCGAGGAGAATTGAAAACAATCTTTTGTGTCGGTTTTCCTGTCCACTTACAAGCACCTACGCGAGTGCATTTGTTCTACGTGTTTTCTCCATGTTATAAATACGTTTATGAGTTTCGGGACGTCTTAAATATGTTTAAGATAACCAACCTCCCAGACGATACCCATTTAGGGCTAGCGCATAATTTGCCATTTCGAAGGCCACGTTCAAACGTGTGGTCACGTGCCATGTCGAACGGGTACTCGTACCATACGGCACCCGTATCAAACGGGCACCTGTATCAAACGGGTACCGTTTCGAACGGGTACCGTTTCCAAACGGGTACCCGTATCCCATAATCACGTTTGATCCAAACGGATCGACAGGTTTGATTCAAACGGGCGACCAGTTTGCCACCCGTTTGAATTTCAAATGGTTTTTTTCAGTAGGGGTACCATACAGGTAAATGTAAAAGCTTCCGAATGCTTTGATGCCATCATCAAACAATTCTAGAAATCAAGGGTAGAACCAGCTGAACAAGGAAGGAAGGAGAAACAGAAACTGGTTCCACCCGTGATGTATACTAGCCAACTAGCTCAGCTCATCCCTATAGTCAGTTCCAGAGAGGCTATCTTCACCTATGAGAGTCCTGTCGAGAAATCCCTTGGGCTCCTCGATTTGGCTTTGGAATTTCAAGCAGGACATGTTCGTTGGAAATACCGAGCGCGATCGGGAAAACAATTTCTTTATTATGAACCGGAACTTTTAAGAAAAACGTCCATCACGGATTGGCCACTACAGCTCCAACAGCGAGCCTTATGAAAACCTGTCCATACCAAATCAATCAAAGTTTCAAAACACAAACTTCTAGGCTTATACAAGCCGGGTATTCAACCCCATTACTGGCCTCCAGACGCAAAAAACTGGCAGCACCGTCAAGAGGACGAATGATCGTAATAAACACACATAATATAAATCAACGAAATCCATTGCGGTGGTTTCATATAATCATGGGGTCACCCTTAAATTACAAAAAGAAAATTGCAAGCCGCCAAAACATGCAAGTTGTGTGCTCGGCCACCAAAAGAGAGTATTCAATATGCCGCAAGATTGACCAAGCACAAACCAATAAAAAGATCAGTATAACACCAGAAACAGAACAAACTACGCTCCGCGCAAAAAGGAATGCATTTACAACATACCGTGCACATGTGGGCGCCACTACATCGGAGAGACAAAAGTTGTCTAAACGACCGAGCACGAGAAAATGCAGCCAACATTAGAAACCTCACGGCACCGTGGCATCTAGCTGCCCATTGTCAATCATGCAAATTCAAAGCAGACCTCGAGTAAGTTCGCGTTCTAAAACACTACAAAATCAGCTTGCATGGGTGATGTCCGAGGACTTTGCTGGAGAAGGAAAGTTAAGTAATTACGTGAGTTCCCCTTCAAACGCCTTGCAACATGAGAAAGACTTTCTGCAGGGCACCAATCCTCTTGCTCAATATATATGAGAGGAAGGGGACAGAAACAGTATTTATGAAGAAAAAGCAGAAGAAAAAGAAGAGCATCAGTAGAACAGGAGGATTCAATAAAATTGTTGGTAGTCCAGCGGTCGGTTGACTTGCCTTTTCTCCTCCCTTCCTTCCTTCCTATAGTCTGCTGGCTCCACACCAAATGAATACCAAACTATCTCAGGTCAATATCTTTGTAATTAATATTATGCTCAATATGCCTGGTTAATAAGCCTACCTTTCACTCACAACGATAACAAGCGCCTAGATTACAGTGCACTCAATTTAATAAACAACCAGTCGTTCCACTAGATCCTGACTGTTGATATGCATAAATGTTACCATTGAAGTACATTCTAATTTCTATTTTATTTTGTCCAGGATGAAAACGTCATGAAGTCCTTGGCTATCCTTGACACGGTGCTATGATCATCCGGCGCCTCGCTGCCATCATGAACAACTGAAATGCCATCCTTGAATCCCTGAATTCATCGGTCCTGCAGCGACATCATTCTAAGGCACCTCTGCTTCTCCAAGTCGCTTTTACGTCTCGGCGCCATCCTCGAGTTCGTCAGACCTTGGGACTTCATTCAGCAAGTCAGTCGGTGGCGCCGATAGCACATCATGACGATGTCTAGACCTAGAAAAGGCGTCGAAGTCTAGCGACCCTATCGTGTCTGGTAACACATATAGCTTCCACGTGAAGCCTAAGCACAGGCACCAGTGTAAGGATCTACATGAAACAACGTCTCAGGTCAAGGTCAGAGTCCGCGTACTCTAGACCACTGTTGGACTAAAAGATAGGCGTACCTCAATGACTCGCCAGTGCAGATGGACGCTAACACTAGTTGGAAAAGAATTCTATCAAAACAAGGCATCGTCAGGTTCGCGCGCATCTACTGTTACATGTGGCCTACAAATCTTTCCTGATGGATGGCTCATGAAATGCAAAGCTATGGTCTATCGTAAACGTGACACGAGATCATCGGTTTGTGGCGAGCCGAATCTTGGTGTCTGAAAAACTAGCTACGTTTTCAGAAGTAGTTCACACGATGCAGGCTGCTCCTCATTGGCAGATAGATCTGAGATGTCAGATGCATCTGCGTTGACGTGTTCTGCTCCAGTTGAAGGAAGACTGTACTCAATTCTGTCTTTTTTGGCCACGTCCTTGGGCCAAAACGTTTATGAAGAGCGAACTAGTTGTTTCAGTTTTTACATAACTTTTAGTATGTAGAAAAACCACTCAATCGCTGTAAATGAGCTTTCTTGGGTATATGGCATCACGTCCGACGTATCTTGAAATATACAGATGTTTTCGACACCTGGTTTTGCATTCATAGAAATCGGAATGCTCGCTCACAGTCATGTAGTCATTGCTGTTTCATATTGTCCACACTGGATACCTGTTTACATTCCCTAAGATGCAACATTTTTCGAGAAACATCTCATATCTCCACTTATTCCTATGTCTCATCTCCGGAGTTATTTGCAACACTGTTAAAGGTACAGCCGCGCCAACGTATATGTGCAAAATGCATTGAGTGCAAGAGGACATGCACAAGAGCACAGCACAGTATAGCCATGAGCTGGCGGCCGTGCCTCCCACGATGCTGCAGAGCATACTTGAGACGGGGAGAGATCCCTTCTCGTCACGGCGCGAATATACCAGGAGACTTGGACGTGTTCAAAAGGTTCTAAGAGAAAATTTGACGTCCCCCAGTTAACTCAAGGGTGGTAAACATGACCACCATTCCATCAGTTACACCTGAAAACGTTTTATTAGTGGTTGCCACAGTGTCCAACGACCGGATGCAAACAGAAGTAGCAGCAAGCTGACGAGTGACCAATAAGCGTATGCTTTAGGTCACTCTCTTGGTTACTGGGATGTAAATTAAGCACAAATGGTCCCATGCACGAAATATATGTCGTAAGCAGCGATTCTCATGTTTCAAAATAAATGTTAGCATACGAGGGAAGAACATTTGCATGGTCTGCGACGCACAAACGCTTATTTCGTTCTGAATGATCAGTAAATTATGCTCTTGTTTGGTCATTCAAATGTTTCTTGCAACTACTCGTAGTATCTTTTATTCTACCTAAATTAACGCCAGATAATGTTTTCTTGCATGTATGTTGGACAACTGAGGCGGCGTTATTTACAATTCAAGGCGTGAACCGCATTAGAGTAAGGTTACCATTTGAACATATTGAGATATCTACCGCACAAAGTAGAGAGAAGCTATTTTCTCTACACTGTGCATTAAATACTATAATGCGTAGACCCCACAACTGGCACCTCACGCCGGAGGTGTAAACGTTGCGGTGTGCAGCCTGCACAGGTCAAGCGTTCATGTGATTTGTTTTGTGTCGTCAGTTTCGGTGTGAATCGAAGTAGTATGGTAGAGTCATCAGCTCAGAGAAAACTTGTTATAGGAAACTTATATTTAGTGTTCGTCCAAAGTGTAAGGACAAGTTTATAGATCCTCATATATTTAACCTTTTAAATTGTTCTCGGTGCATTGTGCCAAATACAGGAATGAGATATAATTTGCCCGGAGTGTACTGAAGGCGGCACTCATGTCGGATGGAAAAACTAAAGTTGTGACACAGGGGCCTTTGCAAATACGCACTTTGACCAAATTCCAATGTCTGATTGCAGCCAAAAAGCCCGCTTCGTACATTTGCATCGGTCTGCAGAACTCTGTCAAACTAAGCGAAGAATGTAGTGTTAGAGCTCCCCACCAGAAGATAGCACCATCTGCGTATTTTTGTTCCTTCGATTAGATCATACATAAGAACAAATAATCAGACGCTGGCCATTCTCAAATCGCTAGCTCTCTGTTTAGGCTCATTAGCACTATATGTTTCCCCACCAGACCGCGCATGGAGAAAATGTCTTTCCACGTTACTTGTGGGCGGAGTCACTTCTGCGCGCCTCAGGAATCATTTATTCTAAAATGCTATAGGAGGCGCAAATGCTTATATCTCGTGGAGACATAAAACACATGACCAAACGCGCATAATTCTCATCTCTTGAGGGACGAGATATTTAGTACAAATTGGTTTAGGGTAGCAATTTTTTATAGAGCTGCCCTCCAGTTAAAATACAAAATACTATGTTGGGCCCCGAAGGATCATACAAGGCAACGCTCTCAGATGAGCTGAGTCCCGCATTGGAGCTCTCTCTGCGTTTTGCCTGGGAGAGGGCGCATGATCCGTGTTAGCATAAATAAATTGTCTTCACTGGCACCCCACCCACCTAGCTCGTAATGTCGAACTCCATAAACTAAATTAATGATGCGAAAATTGACGAATTCAGCTAGACGCTTAGTTCGCTTTGCTTTCGGTGAAATATTCACTGTTGTGATTTCGCTTGCAGAGCAAACAATGCCGAACGAAATTCTTGGTTTTTTTTTTTCTTTTATCAGCATATTTGCTCCATGAGGCACAGCTTTTGCGGTGCCAATCAAGTTTTGAGACTGGTTTGGTATGTTTCTTTAGCTATCGTACGTAATTAAAATTGTTTACGTCTAAAAAGTGCATCGTAAGAAATCGAAACAAAATTTTAAATATTCGTCTGAAAATTCTTGCTGCAGACGAGATACGGAGGGCGACACAGTTAGCACAAGTACTCAATTAACGTTTTTTTGTTGTTTTTTTTTTTCAAGCGTTGATCATTAAGGCAGCTGAATGCGCTCATATGAGGTACGATGTAGAGCTGCAAAATTTTGTATTCAATTATGGCCTATATGAGTGAAATGGAGAAAACCAAGGTTGCTTCGCTTTCGCGCGAACGGTACCGTGCAGTGTACAACTCCTTCGAGTCGTCCGTAATTGTCAAGGAGGGAATATCTTCGTTTTTTCTGGCAGATAGATTCACAAAATTTTTCATCTCTTGAATTAATTTTATAACACCTGCCAAAGGTTAAGAATACGCAGACGCGCCTGAAGCGCCTCCATGACATTACCTTAACACGGACTGAAAGGCTCTTCTTTGTACAAGGTCTGAGGGAACATCTCAAATAAAGTTAATATAAAAACGCTGGTTCGGCAGTGGCTTTGGAAAATTCATTGGCTTTCCGGGGGTATTTTTTTGTCTTGGTCATTGACTAATAGATGCAGTACTCGGAACCTTATGAGTCACATTGCAGATGCAGGATTCACGTACACTAATGTCCTTACAACCGAAACCGTGCAGATGACAAAACCTTCCAACAAATTTGTCTTCACGAATCAAATGTTCGTACATTTTGCAAAATTATAAAGTGCATAACGTACAAACTTTAGCTAAGCTGTCAAAGCGTATAAAGCTTTTCGTGAATCCAGCCTAATTTTTTTTTAATAAGTCAGTTCGTGCACTACGTTATTTATAAAATCTATGACCGATGTTGTTCCGTGCAATCTGAACAATTACAACAACGAAGCGTGGAAAGCGAAACAGATATAGTACCCAATATTAATATTGGCTAGTTGGGTATGCATATATTTCACCCTATTTATCTCCGAAGAAGCAGATATGCAGGGAACTTATGGAAATCTTCTGCAAAGATTTGCTGGAAAAACTAAAAACGCTACTCAAACGAGGGCGCTAATCGATTGGTAGGCTCCAGGTAGTCTGTGAAGAGGGGCATACATCCCTCATAATATTTAGATATTTTAGAAGTACGAATCGATCACTTGTGTTTTTTCAATGTAAAATCTTGTAGTATGTCTCGAAGCTTCAGAGGGCGGGTATGGTGTTTAAAAATTGCAAGCGCGTTGTATCGTTTTTACTACTAAAAAAAAATTGTTATTCCGAGATTTTTGACACTGACTGGCTTCAAATCTTACATTTTCTACATTATATTCTGTTTTCAGTAGGAACTGCACCCAATTTAATATTGTTGTTCAGTTTTAATAAAGATAATATTGAAAGTGAGGTAAAACAAGCTTCCGTGTGAAGGTGTTTTTTTCATCTAAAAATATTTTAAAAGCGACTATTCACTAGTTTATCAAGCCAAACGTGAGGGTGCATGTGAGCTGGTGTAAGTTTACAATTTTAGAATTACATGAGACAGCGGTGACGACAGAAAAACAACAGGAAGATGGAAATGAGCCCCAAACACAGATGAAATTTTATTGCTAAATAATTCATGCATATAAGGTCTCAACCAAAAAAAGAAGCAAAGGGGAGTCCATTAAAAGGGGGAACCAGCAATTTAGATTGATTCCTTATTTAAGGAAACCTTTAAGGTACGTCTTTAACATGGAGTAATATTAAAGTCACTCGTTTGTGCGTGAGATATACATAGATGTTCACTTAGAGATTATCATACCAGAAGAATCGTGTAAATGTAGAATTGCGATGGTGGACCAAGTGTTTGAAGTGAGCTATAATCTGGATTTATCTATAATAGTCAAGGGTTTCCGGTTTTTTTGGTAGAAGTTGCGTTTTCATAATAAGGCTTGTAATAATGTGGCACAGGATCATATCAAGCATCATGTTCAATTGAGTGTTTCTCTGCGGTATCGAATATTGCGTTCGTTAGTATTTTTTTTTACATTTGGTTAAAATATATAAAAAAGTGGAATGTAAAGAAAGTTTCATTGTACGAATTCGGAAAGCACTGGCAGCTCCAAAGTCTATTAAAGGAAGGAATATAGTAGACTATCCGGAATACCTTTCAAGACATTTAGCTTTTTCCTCTTGAGACGTCACCTGAATTTAGCAGTCTATTTTTCCATAAATATTTTCACACTAACAAAAGAAATGCCAGCCACCGAAACCAAATTTTTTTACTGAGAATCGCATTGTTTGTGAGCATTTCCAGATATTCAAGAAGTAAAGGAGATGGTGGTGATTGATACAGTATCTGCTCTCCAAACGTATTGTACGGCTTGCGGTAAACCCTGCGACATCTTTAGATCAAACCACATTAATCGAAAGCAGTCGACTAAACAGCGATGTTTCTAGTCCTATTGTGTATCGTTTAAACATAGAGTATGTTATATCAGAGGGCTAGGCATTTTACATTACAAAATAAAAACAAAACAAAAAATAATACGGGGATATATTGTCAGTCAGGCTTGGCGAATTTGATTGACTTGGTAGATCTGGAACTTCGGTGGCTTTTTCCATTCAGACACCGCCAAAGCAC